AAAAAGAATTCTTGTGGATGTAGAACTACTGCAGAACAGGAATGTGACAACGTAAATTTGAATATGAGATGTGCCCAGTAATATCTAGTGCTGATTGAGTGATAATTATGCATATCATTAACACAATAAACTCTTCCATAAGAAATATCTGGGGCCCTGACTTTTCAATCCCAAAAAGGCAGGATTGCATTATTATGAGGTTAATGATAGGACTGGGGTGAGCTTTGCTAGTTGCTGGCCTGGCATTCCAGAGGTCCAGCTGCTCTATCTGATTCCATCCTATAGTCTGGCACCAACCACCTAGTGGCCCCTGACCACTCTGGATTAAATATCAATGGGGTGGATCTCTGGTCCCACGGTTAGCTGGACTTCCCAGGATGGTGGCGGCAATTTCAGGAATCTGTTGGTTAGATGGTGCCAGGGAGATGGGCTGGGAGAACACCATGGATGCCAAACATTCCTTCTGTCTCTTGAGGCTGTGTCTCCCTTCCCTCACACTCTGCCCTCCCCCAGAGAAAATAAGAATCTTAGGCCAGCACAACAGTGTGAATGTTCTTAATGCTATTGAACTGTGCACTTAAAAATGATTAAAATAGTAAATTCTCGGGCGCCTGGGTGCCTCAGTTGGTTAAGCATCTGCATTCAGCAGGGAGTCTGCTTCTCCTGCTCCCTCTCTCTCTGCCCCTTCCCACTGCTCATGTGCACTTGCAAGCACTCTTTCTCTCAAATAAATAAATAAAATATTAAAAAAATAATAAATTCTATGTTATGTGTATTTTACCACAATTAAAATAAAAAGAATGTTAGCCCAACCCTGGTTGAGAATGGGAGATGGGCAGAGGATGGAAGCCAATTCTCTTCTATCTAAATTTGCTTTATTGCAAGGTGCATGATGGTGGGTTTTATAGATGTAAGCCAAGGTTGACCTAACTCTGGAGTTCCCACTTTCAGTCACATTGTCAGGACCACACTACCATTCCACCTCTTGGTTTACCTATTTTCAAGAACAACAGCAAACGAAAAAAATATAGATTCCATCCTCTTTATTATACAGAACAATTCCATAATTCCTCCATTGGATCTGTCTTCTCAGGCTCTTTTCTTTGTCCCATCTTCTTTTTTTTTTTAAGATTTTACTTATTTATTTTTGTGTGTGAGAGAGAGAGGACACAAACAGGGAGGGGGCTGGCAGAGAGAGGAGCCGACTCTCCACTGAGCAGGGGGAGCCCGTTGTGGGACTCGATCCCAGGACCCTGGGATCACAGACCTGAGCCGAAGTCAGACGTTTAACGACTGAGCCACCCAGGTGCCCTCTTCATCCCATCTTTTAAAATCTAAATGTCCCTACAAGATATTTTCCTAAACAAAAATAATTCTCTCCTTCACAGGGAACTAGCCGCCCTGCAGAGGACTTTTTTTTTTAAGAAGTTTAGTATTGAAAGATGACTTTGAATCGACTCTAATTTATATTTTCAAAACAATTGCTTTTAAACTGTAGTGGCCTACGTATTAATAGTGAGTTACTTGCAATATAGCCCAAGTGACTAAGACGCGCTGCTCTAATTTTCCAAATTTTCGCAAGTGTTCAATTACAAATTGGTTTCAAGATTCAGGAGTACTGTTTCCACTCTTGTCTCCTCACGACCAGAGCTCCTGACGAAGCCTTGTTGTTGCAGCCCACTAAAATGAGCCTTCTTCTCTCCCGAACCTCCTTTCTGGGACTTGGTATCGCAGAACTATCCTAGGATTTGTCGAACAAGTGTTTCTCCCGTGCTCTCCACAGCACTGGTCTATGACCTTTGCCAGAAAATGTTGGCTACGTTGTGATTTGATAGGAGACAAGCCCCAGGAGGGCCGTGATTCAGCTCCCATGGGCGGGTGAGAAACTTAGAATGGAATGCTTTGTTTCCTAAACTTCCAAAGTTATCTGGTCAACCTTCTTGCCTCCTTTGTTTTGTTTTGATTTCTTTGCAAAAGTGAGACCCTGAAGGGCCACAGCTGCTATATGACCCCAAGTGACCACCTCAGTTAATTCCCCAAATGAGTGCCTCTGGTTTTAATGGTGCAGAAAAGATCCAAGCTCAAAAAATCAAGGAAGAGAATTGGCACAGTGAGCCCACATTCGCCAGACTTCAAAATCCTCAGCGTCCCAAGGAGAGACCTATTGTCAGATGACCAACTTGAAATGCCGGAGTGGCAATAAAGGAAAATGATTAATCGAAAGCTCCCCATCATGTAACTTACTGATTAAAATGATGTCACTTTCTGCTGATCAGAAAAGATTATTGCCCAAGGGCAAGACCCCAGAGATGATCTCGTCCCCCTCCCTTCTTTTACAGATGAGAGAGGTGGAGGGCACGGTGACCTGACGTGTCTAAGGCCACACGGTGACGTTGTGGTGAGGGTAGGACTACTGAGGTATTCCTTCCACGAAACCACTTTCCCTTTCTTAATGAATAGAAGAAAAATAAAAGATGTCTCTCAGTTAAGTGGTTTGTGCTTTTGAAGATTATATTGTAGTCTCTGTGAATGGTGTCCCCTGGAGTCGTGACCAGCCCATGTGGCTGTGCATAATAGCCCTGATAAGGGCACATGTTTTAAAACTGAGAGATGGGGGCGCCTGGGTGGCTCAGTCAGTTAAGCGTCTGCCTTCAGCTCAGGTCATGATCCCAGGGTCTTGGGATCGAGCCCCGCATCAGGCTCCCTGCTCTGTGGGGAGCCTGTTCCTCCCTCTGCCTGCCACTTCCCCTACTTGCGCTCTCTCTGTCAAATAAATAAATAAAATCTTTAAAAATAAAAAATAAAACAGAGATGAAGAGCGGGTACAAGGAAATTAGACAAAGCTTTTGACGGCAATGTTAGAAGAAAAGGCGTGAGAAGTTAGTCTTGCGGGCCTGTTACAAGAGTTGGGTTCTTGGCAGAAGGGAATGTAATTTGCCTGCTTTTCATCTGTGACTGCCAGGCTGCTGTAAGGGTCACGGTTAGACAGCTGTCTCCCCCCACCCCCACCCCACCCCCTGTTTGCTGGGTCTTGGCGCTGGTGCTCTGCCTTCACTCTAAGCCTGTCTTGTTGGTCCTGAGTCACCTTCTCAGGACAGCTCTGGGCTCCCACTGGCCGTGCCTGGATGGAACAATGATGGCTCGCCCTTCCTGACCCGCACTGCCTTCATTCATCTTAGTGGGCCTCGCTTTGGCTGCAGCCCAGGGGAGATAACCTTGAGAAATGGAAATTCCAGAAAGTTGGGGAAATATTTTCACCAACAGCCAAATTAGTTTGAATTTGAGTTGTTGAGAAATGGGGAACTTGGTGAGTGAGAGAGAGTCGAGTTGAGGGTAGTGAGGGGAACAGAGTAGGAATCAGTCTGACTGGACACTTGAAAGAAGTCGCCTTACAATGTGAAAATAATTTGCAGAGGAATGTTTACACAATAACGAATCTAAATCTAAAGAAAAAACAACTTACACACCGGAATCTAAATGTCACTTGGTTCCCAGAGGGAATGAGCTCAGAAGCTAAAAGGAGAGGGAGGCTCTCCAACTATTAAATGTATTTTTTAAAGTCTCTGTTGGGTTTAAATTGGTTCCAGGAAGAACACAGGCTCTTATCCCAGGGGAGGTATCTGTGCAGATGCTAATAGAAGGGCTGAGAAGCTCAGCGTCCAGAATGGGGGTGGCTGGTGCAGAGGGCAGAATGGTCAGCCAGAAATATTCTGTCAATGGTAGTTTCAGCCGATAAATTCAGCCAGATTTTGAGATCAAACATTTGGAACTTGAGAAACTCCCTCTGGGGGTTGCTTTTGTTTATCATACTTTCCTGGCCATTGGAGTTCACAAAGAGTAATATCACTGGAAGAACTTAGAAAATGGGTCCAAGTTTTCAAAGGCACAATCTCAGGAATGGAAAACAGCTATGTGGTCAGCTTGAGAGGGTCATAAATAAACCCGAGTGGGCAGTCTCAGCGAGCACCGCCGGGCGGGGAAGGAAGTGAGGAATACAACTGCCCCATGGCAGGCAGCTCGCTGGTCACTGGAGGAGAAAGAGGAACCATGTATCCTGGTTCCCAGTCTCCTCCTTTTATTATAAACTTGATCCTGTGGTATCGAAGTCAACATCGTAAGTATAAAAATAGCTTCAGAAATGAAGTTGATGGATATACTAAGTGAACAAAGAGAAGCCTAATGTCCTCGGGCACCACACTTGAGTCCCTGTGGAAGGCCATCGCATTTAAAGGGAATGAGAAAGAGGCTGCCCCCGGGCCTGAGAGCAGGGGGGAGCTCGGGGAGGTAAGGGCCAGCCGGGGAGGCTCCTCTTACCCACGCTATACTTTCAGGAGTCTCCTACTTCCCCGTCCGCAAAACCTCTGACTACCTCCCCCTCTGCCTACCTCCCCCTCTGCCTACAGCGCTACTTCTAGAGCTTCGTTTGCCTCTGAACACCCCTCTGTCCCTGTGTCTTACTGGGGGTGACTTAAGGGCAATGCTGGTAATTGCTCCTACCCCTCTCTCCATTCCCTCCCCTCATCTTCACCTGCAACACTGCCCCCCCCTCCACAACCCCGGTCCCCACATCGTATCAAAAAGTGCCCAAGGTAAAAGTAAGTACTGGTCCGCTGCTGAGTCCTCAGCCAGTTGCATTCATTCAACAAACCTTCTCTGAGCTCCTTCTGCCATCCAGGGCAGAATGCTCAATGTTAGGGATTCAAGGTCAGTCCTGGGCCCTCCGTAGCCAGACGGGACGAGGCAGAGAGCAAAGCTCTAGGACTACAGCTCTGGCGATGAGGGATCTGAAGGAGGGGTGTCTACGCAGGAGGGGAGAACAAGGGGGGCATGCTTTGTTTAGGGGTGGAGCAGGGGAGAGCCCTGTGGGGAGGATGCAGTGGAGAGGGGAGCAGGAAAACTTGTGCAGAGGGATGGGGTGAGAGAGGTCGTCTCTGGGGACCATGAGAATCCAGGAGTAGCAGGACACCAAGCTGAAGGGATAGACAAGCAGGGGTCAAGCCATGAAGGGTTTGCCAACCAGGGTAAGTAAGGCACCCCCGGAGTTTGGAGTTTGGACCTCGTGCCAGAGGAATTAGGGAACCGTGGAAGACTTTCAAGCAGAAGAGACTGAGATGATCAGATTTCCAATTTAGAAAAGTCACCTGGGCCAGAGTGAGGAGAACAGATTGGTGGGGAGGTGAGCCTGGAGGCAAATTAGATTGGGATCCCCAAGTGGTTTCTCATCAACCTCTGTCCCACTTTGGCAGTTTCTAAATTCTAGAGAAGGTGGACCTTGGGCAGAGAGGGGGCAGTGGTCCCTCTGAGAATCCTACGGAGGGCCTCTCTACTGTTCTCGCCACAGACTCCTAGGACTGTTCTCGAATCCTCAGGTTCAAAGTAAGAGAACCTGAGACACTTCTAACACACCCTGATGGCAGTGGTTCTCAAAGCGGGATCCCCACAGGGCAGCACTGTCACAGGAGAGCTGCAGAATGTGCCTTCCTGAGCCCCACCCCGTAGCTCCTGAATCAGAGACCCTGGGGCCCAGCTGCCATGTCATCACGAGCTCTCCAGGAGGCTCTGAGGAAAGGCTAACTCTGGAGAACCACCACCCCGTGGTAGCACGCACTTCAAGGGGCTACACGGGAGACCCGACCACCATGCTCAGCAAATTCTCTTCTTGGGTTTTTAAGAGAGAGAAAAGCTTCAGGCCCAGTTCACATCACTACCAAGCAAGTTAGACGTTCTAGGTGACAGACATGGAACTATGATAATCATCATTTATTTAATAAAAACTTAGCAGATGGCTTTGTAAATCTACTATGTGCATTTTACTCCCTGGGCAGAGGGAAGAGTGAATAGAAAGGGTGCAGGGTTCCTGCCCGCAGTAGAATTCTGACATCCTCTTCCTCATCATCATCTTCAAAAAACTTTTTCCTAAGGCTGATAAGAGTCACTTATAAGAATCCATGTATATGAGATCCCCCAAGACTTACTGAGCTCTGTGCCCTACGGTTCCTGCCCTCAGATGATTTACTGTCCACTTGAGTCGGAACTTGAACCATCAGTCACCCACGGTAGCATACAATCTATGAGCTAAATTGGGGTGAGGCTAGGTCGTCCTTGTCCATTTATTCAGGTGGTCTTCATTCTCACTCTTTCCCCAGAGTCCTGGTTTTCTTCTTTCTCCTTAATCTAGGTGGGAGCGATTCCATCCCACAAGATGTGCCAAGTCAGTCCCCTTTTGTCCTTCTTCGCTTTTACTCTACAGCAACTTCCCAGGCTGCTCCTCAGAGACTCCAAAGGGATTGCCAGGCCTACTAGCCCTCAAACAGCACCAGAATGAGGCCAGAGTTTCCCAGGAATTTTGACTCACGCTCCCCGAGGCTGCTGAGTCAGGTGGCCCAGGCAGGAGCATCCGGCTGCACCTCTGGGCTGTGCGGAAGTTACAATGCTCAGTGGTCAACCGTTCCTAGGAACTTGGGCCTCCTTGGGTTTGTCCCATGGAGGTGGGGGGAGCAGCCCTTGGGTGCTGACTCTAAGAACTCTGGTCTTGACCTCGGCAGCACAGGGCCCCCATTACCTATCTCCTGGAGGGAGTTATTGAGGATATGGTAACTGCTGGATCAGCAGAGAACTCAAGGTGGGAAAGGAAAAGGCCTGTTCTATAAATAAACACCACTCCTGGATGATGCACTGTCCTCCTCCCCACTCCCACGCCCAATCATCCTTGTGACTATCAGAGCAGAGCAGCCCCAAAGCCAGAGGATTAGTGCAATCACAAGGCCACCGTAGATACCCTGGTCCAGAAATACTCCTGGAGAGCTTTAGTCATTGAATAGGGGCCAGGAGGGCAACAAAAGAAGAGGGAGGAGGGGGAGAGAGCTGGAAGCCTGCTAGGGCTAGCTTGAAAATCTACAGCTGAAAAAAAAGCAAAAAGCCTGGCTTTCCTCCAGAATGTGAGAATCTATAGAGAGAGTGGAGCAGGGAGGGGAAAAGGGCAATTCCCACAAAGTACTCTTAGCTTTAGGGTGGTTAGCCTGAACCTCAGAACACAGATCTGTCCCCCAAACATTGGAAAAAGAACCCCAAGAGCTGGAATTACCAGAAGTTTCGGAATCTCTATTAATATAATCACTGTCAGAACTACTGAAAGTTCAAAGAAGATGAGTTTTTGGCACCTTTGCGGTGGAGAATCTCGGAGCAGCAGAAAGCGGGAGCAAGACTCCTACACCATTAGAGCTGGGAAGTAGGTTAGCGTCTAGTCTCCTTGGATAGGCAGCCATCGAGCAAGATCATTTGTCGGAGGGCCCTTACCCTCTCTGAGGGCTAGCGCACTTCCGGGTCGGGGCACAGGCAGATGGAAACCATGGGGGAGTGTGAGCGAGAGACGGAAAGCTCCGTGTGGAAGCCAGTTGCCTCAGCGCATTGCGCCTAAATTAAGAAGGCCCCAGGGCGCTGGGAGCAGTGGCCCGGATGATCCTGTGCCTGTTCACCAGCTCGAGGGGAGGGCAGAGGGTGGATCAGCTTTACTGTCACCAGCAAAGACGACTTCCAGAGCAGCTTGGATGAATCATCTGGCGCACATGCACGCTCAAAACTGTTAAATATGGACGATGGGGGTGGGGAGCTGCTAACTAACAAAAGCTGAACTCGGGGGGTACGTGATTTTTACACCAGGTGTATCTAATTCTGTCTTCGGCGAATGAGTCTTTGGGTCCCTTTTAAGGGAATCTTTTGAGTGACTTACCTAAAGACAGACTACGGCTAAACTTAGGACAGAAGGCAGAGACCCAAGTTACACAGGGCTGTGTGGTTAATATAAGCAGCTAATCAAAAAACAAATGAGCTCATCGGGACGTGGTCACACATTTTATTAACATCAAAGGCTATTAACATTTTTGCTTTACTTTCTAAAACCAAGCTTTAGGTTCTTCTTTCCAGGGTGAGTGTGCGTTTACAGCTGATGCTCAGAGGACAGATTTGGAACACCGCGTGCCCTTGCCCACACTTCCCTTGGAACCTGCTTGGAGACAGGGTGTTGCATTGGGCGAGCAGTCGGTTCGCCACACTGTGCCAGTTCTTACCCACAGAGGAGAGAGACTTCAGTTTTGCCTCCGAGGACACAGGCTCTACCTCGGCAGAAAGTAAATATTAAAGAAGATTGTGATCAAGCAAATGGGAATACAAAAAATTCTGTCTTGAGAGGTCCAGAGGTTAAAAGCTAGCTAACAATAGCTGGAAAGGGCTTCTTGTGTGCAATAGAGCTCTGTGAATATGGACTCAATGTTAGGTGATACTTAATCAATACGAAATGTCTTGCTGTGATCCAAAAAGCTAAAACTCAGTATGTCAGTCAAGCATTAGATATTTAGTATCAGTTTTTTAGGTGCAATGAACTGCATGGGCCCTTGCTCCGAAGACACCATATGTATCAAATTCGACTGGTGAGTCAAGAAGTTAATGTATGGAAGGCTAGGCACCTGGGTGGCTCAGTTGGTTAAGTGACTGCCTTCGGCTCCGGTCATGATCTTAGAGTCCCAGGATCGAGTCCCACGTTGGGCTCCCTGCTCAGCAGGGAGTCTGCTTCTCCCTCTGACCCTCCCCCCCTCTAATGCTCTCTCTCTCTCTCAAATAAATAAAATAAAATCTTTTTTTTTTTAAAGTTAATGTATGGAAGGCTAAAAAAAAATTAAAAGTCAATCGAAACTTTGTACCATTAAGTGAGGAGATACACTGACTTTAAGCTTCACCAAGAAACTGCATGTGGCTGGCTGCTTAAAATGAAGTCACCCCAATTAGGATTTATGGAAGGATGAGCCATCATGATTTGTAGTTTAAGTTTTCAAATCTTTCTTCAGAAATTGGTAATGATTACACCTCTTCTGAGCTCCAGCCTGCTGCGCTCTCCTAAGGACGGCTACTTGTGATCCTGGCTCGGGCAACGATGTCTTCTTGGCAAAGCTGCTGGGTAAGCTGCTGCAGGTGGAGCTGTCTGGGGAGCCAGAGAATTTACTACCATCGGTCTTCTTCACCAGGAGCACATTCACCTTTGGTGTCTAATTACGACTTTTTTCCAGCGAGAACTCATAAAAAAGCAATTGGCGACAGCAGTTCTTTTGACCCTGCACGGCAGCGGGCTCAGACCACAATCGTCCAGTATATATTTTCCAGGGCTCGGCAAAGCCACTGCTCCTTCCTTCTTCCAGGTCAGTTTTGAATCACCTTCTTGTGAGATGCGGAGGCGGGGCAGGCCCACGTTCCAAATGCGTTCTTAGTACACGGCAGGCAGGCGCTTGGGATGAGCAGCAGAGAAACTACTCGGAGCACTTGGCAGAGGCATTTCCGGATTCTCTTTACGTTCCTCTGCATGTGGCCCAGCCCATGAGAAGCAGACAAGCTGATAGAAGCCACATATGGCCTTCAACATCAAGGTCAAGAGACCCTGGAAAAAATCCACAGCGGGGACCACCTGTAACACGTCATCCCGCTCTTGATGATACAGTCCTCCGATATTTTCTAGTTACATCTCACATATTAACGCATCAACTGACAAATATCAATTAAAGTCTTCTATGGATATAATCATGCTCTCCCTTCCCCAGATATAGGGAACAAGTTATTTGCTTTTTATTTTCCCCAGTGTTCACTCCACAGCGCTGACCAGGTAGCAGGGAGGTATAAAGCAAGGAGCTCAGTCTCCAACAGTCCTGCACCCACCAGCTACTGGGTCCCTCGTGCCACCTGTTACTGAGCAAGCACCACAGATGTGTCCGATGATGTGGCCACAGCAGTATGCCAAGAGCTGTCTGACAAGGAAACAGGTTTCAAAACAGCCTGCACCCCCCCTCTAGCTATTTGTACCGCTCAAACTCTTTCCCAGTTCCACCCTTACCAGTGAGAATCAACGTGGTGAGGCAGCTGCTAGTGGGGACACTAATAGCTCAAACCCAGGTAGATCTGCTGTAAGGCTCATCTGACATCTTCATTAACGTTCTTACTGAGCTCCATGCATTTGGGCTCTTACTCCTTGGGCAGAACG